AAAATCCCAAATCAATCATAAACAGTTCTCACATGGGGCATCAGATAAAGCCATTTGAATCGACACTTTTCTGATATGAGATTTCATAAAAAACATATAATATGATTGAATGATAAAAGCTAGTCACAATGGGTAAACAAATTTTAACCTCATGCGTAGTTTTTATATCAAAAGTTAATATGGTGACTACTCATGGATATACGTGGCATTCTTGTGAGAAATACAGTAGTTGTGAAGTTGGCGTAATAGTCCTCTTTGGAGCGTATGATGTCAACATCAAAACACATCAACACCATCACCTAGCTCTGAGAAGAGAAACAAAAGTTAGGATGATCCACTTTTTAACTGTGCATGTAGCAGATTCTCAAAATGTCAAATCAAACATAATAATAATATATAGGTCGGTGATTCCATCGATTTTTACAGAAAATTAACGTGAATTCTTCGAATTGTATGTGTCAATATATTAACCCATGATTAAGCATTGCTCTGGTAAAGTCTCCACGACCATCTTTGCATTATATACATAGCAATTCAGTAGTAGTTTAAAATTTTTAGGAGTTTAATAATTTATTTCTATGTATAAACAGTCTCACATAATGATCCATATCACGTTTTACTGGAAGTTGTGCCTCAGAAGTTACGTAGAACTATTTATTCATTGACTCGTTATTGATCATGTTAGATAGACCCAGTGATTCTGTAAATCTTGTTTAGCCAAGATGTAATTACATACAATTTGATGATCAGTTTCTAAAGTCTTCAAAAGATTGGGCACATAAAATTTCTTTAGGTTATAATTAATCTTAGATTAGGTTTGGAAGTTTTACTTTATTGTCCTTTATTATTCCGACATGTGGTGTATAAATTAGTTCCAAGTTAATTGTATCAAGCTCCAAGAGTCCTGTCATAATCATTTTAGAAGTTTAATTATCCTTTTAAACGTTAAAAAGCCAACCTTAGGCATTGTTATTGGCCTCTTAGTTGTTCTCCTAATAAACCTGTCTAGTTAGGTCTTTCATACTTGATAGTTGTGAACTATTACCTCTAAAAATGATGAAAAAACTAGGCTGATTCCATTAAAAGTAGCTTCTGAAATAGTTTATTTGCGTAGAAAGAACTTATATCGACCACAAGAAAGTGCTAATATTACGTGTAGATGTTCCCGAAAACTATGAGTTTTGGAAAGTTTTTTCTAGAAATCCCATTCCCAAAAGATTATTTTTCATTTTATACGTTCTGGAAAAACTCTCTGTTCCGAAAATCACATTCTAGAAACTTCATTCCAAAATTTCTGTTCCAGAAATATTATTCCAAAATTTTTGAAAAGCTTATATTAAATATTTTCAAAACATATGTAATTTGAAAATCACATTTCACAAGATAAAAATGATAATTTCGGAACTCTTAGAAATGTGTGAAGAAATTGTGAGAAGAGTCATTCTCCCTGCACCTCACTACCCTCATCCTGCACCTCCAAAAAAAGTTATAATTCCAAACGTGCCCTTTCACAGTCAACGAGGAGAGAGAAAAAAAATTGTTTAAAAAAATTAATAAAATTTCAAACCTTATTTAACTCATCTTCTTCACTGCCGCATCTCACTCCTCCCTGCCGCATCTCACTAAAACCCTAGATCTACACCCCTCCTTCCTCCCTCTTTTTCTCTCCATCCTCTGTCTCTTGCATCCGCTGGTTTGGTCACGTTCGTCGCTGGCGTCCAGTCTCTGGCATCCGCTGCTTTGCTCGCGTTCGTCACTGGCGTCCAGGTTAGTAGCTTCCATCTTTCCTGTTATGTGCTTGGTCATCCTTTCCTGTTATGTGCTTGGTTGGGGTTCGTGGTTCGTGGGTCGTGATCGGATGCGGAGCTGCTGGAGGTGCACGCCGCATTTGGAAATGCGGCAAGGATCACAGCCGCAGTTGGAAGTGCGGCTCGCTGGAGGTGCACGCGCATTTGGAAGTGCGGCAAGGACGTGGAGGTGCACGCCGCATTTGGAAGTGCGGCAGGTGCACGCCGCATATCGAACTGCGGCAAACTATAACCGGAGTTCGATATGCGGCAGATGGCGTTTTTCAGTTTTTTAAAATTATATATAGATAATTTTAGGATTTAGTCTGAGACTGTTTCTTTGAATTTGAATTGAATATGTGGTTTGATCTGTTGTTGGCATGGTTATGATATTTATTTTGAATTCTTTATATTTTTTTTTGAAATGTTTTCTTATTGTTGAAGTGTTTTTTATTTAGACGAAGATAGTAATGAAAAATAATTTTTTTATACTAGTATATACTAATTTAAAATGGTTATTGACACACTATACACACAGTAGATACACAGTAGATACACACTAGTATATAGAAATATAAAGTAGATACACAGTAGATACACACTAGTATTTTAGAATCCAAATATAGATAGTTATCCATCTCATATAATTAAATATGACCTACAATAAATATTAAAATTTAAAAATTTATAAATTACAAATAAAAAATTCAAAAACACTCTCTAATAAAAAAAATTCATATAACCTAAATATTATTAAAAATTCATATAACCTAAATACACTCCCCCTGATCACTCCGTAATGACTAACCATAATCCATGAAAAAAAAATTTAAAATAAATAATCATAACATAAAACAATAAATTTAAATTAAAAATAATAACATAATAACAAAAACATTAAAAAAAAAATAAAAAAACATGTAAAAAAAAAAGGACTGCAGGAATTTCACTAAAAAAAAAAATCATGCATAACCGCACTTCAAAGTGCGGCGAGAACATGAAATACGCACTTCGAAGTGCGGCGGCTACAAATTGTTAAACGCACTTCGAAGTGCGGCGCGGTTACCAACGGCGAGGTTACCAGAATACTACCCACACCTCACTACCTATACCTCACTGTCTTCTTCCTCTCTCGCTCACATATATAAATCTCCCAAAACCTAAACCACCACCCCACCCCAGCATTGTATAATTAAAAAAACATTAAATAAAAAATTTGCATAAACCCTAAACAAGAAAAAATTAAACAAAACATGAAAAAATAAACATATACCACAACGCACTTCAAAGTGCGTCACCCTAATTTAAAAACGCACTTCGAAGTGCGGCGAAGTCTTTCCGCACTTCGAAGTGCGGTTGCGTACCTTCGCCAGCGCAGAGTCTTCTTCCTCTTCCTCCTGCTGCTGTATCTTCAAATCTTACAATTCACTAAACCATAAATTACTTGCTATTACTTGCTACAGTAAAAAAACCATGAACAGTGTACGCACCTAAGGCAGCTCAGGGTTTATAAAAAGGGAATGTGGTTGGGAGTTAGAAAAATGGTTGGGGGTTAAAAAAATTTAATTTATTAATTACGGTTTTGACTTTTAATTAAATGAAGGTTTTGACTTTTAATTAAATGAAGGTTTTGACTTTTAATTAATTAAATGAAGGATATATAGGTAATTTTGGGGGTGCAGGATGAGGTGAGGGAGGTGCAGGAAGATTCACTCTTGTGAGAATGCAGAGTAAAATCCTGCAAAATAGATTAATCAGATTTATTTAGGCCTCACCCGTTATTGGTCACAAAATGGAAATAGGTTGGGTTGGTCAACGAAGACAAGGTTGTTTTTTTCTGCACCCCCATAAATTTCTTGTTTCACCCTTCATTGTTCTGAATTTCATTTCTACCCTTCTTTATTTAATTTGAAGTTGTCTCCTTCGTGGAGTCGCGCCCCGCCAACTTTCTTTATTTTATATTATATTTTATATTTTAAATAAGATAATAAAAGCTCATCTTTTAAAATAATTTTTTATTTATTTTAATTTAAAAAATAATTCATTCCACCTTGGTGTTGTAACATCAATCTAAATGGAAGTATACTCACAAATAAAAACAAAAATATAAATGAAAAGCTCACAGCACATACAACATTCCACATTAGTATTACAAAACCAATATGACCATAGGAATACTAAAAAACAAGAGAAATATAAATAAAAGACCCTAAGAAATTTAACACGAGGCAAACCCTTCTCGTGTAATGTTTCTGATAAAAAATTGTAAATTTTCTTATACAATTTTTCTAGCAAAGATTACCAACCTTCTTTGCAAATTTACTGAATAAAATAGTAAACAATATATATTCTATATATTTAACTCTCTTATATACCTAAAAATCCAATTAAGTTACGATGGTAAACTCTAAAAACAACTATTTACTTTTACACGTATTTTTATGTTTTTCTCTTCATATTACTTTATATGAAATTTTGATGAATACTCACTGGAGAATTGATATATTTTTCTTTCATAAAAAGTCTCTTATTCTGAAACAAACATCTTACACCACTCTTGTTATCAGTGATCTACGGCGAAATCAATGTAACGATAACCTTTTCTTGTTATCAATCCTTATTCTTTGTACATTAGATTTATTGTCGACGACTTTCGTATCATTGTAACTAACAACTCATTAATACTCAGAGAAATCTATTACTAACACCTCAATCAAACCAAACCCAATCACGCATGCATTATATTATGTATTGGCAAAATCATTACACAAAAAGAATGATCTAGACAACTTTTTGATTTTCTCGTGCCGACAAACATTGCACAATACTTCCTATATTATATTTCTTTGGATTTTACACAACCAACTGGATACTTCTTGTCTTTGTTAGGAAAGAAGATCCCCCAATGTTTCTCTAGCTCGGGAGTCTTTTGATTCTCATCAAACATACTAAATAGATAGATTTGCGTGGGTTTCGAAGGCCTTCTAGGGCTACCTGTTTTAGAACGATGAAACAAACCCACTAAGTAGGTCTTTGCATTGTCAACACTGGCGCCAAGCGCTCCATCGGACGGCCACCCGGTCTCGGACACAACAACATCCACAAAACCAACTCCAGTGCTATCAATTGCAGCATGCACCGCATCCAACACGGCATCAAACAGATTCTGGTATCCGTATTGACCATCTGACACGACAACATTCGGTGACGTGAAAAGAGCATAGGGAAGTGATATGTCATTAGGGTTACTAGAGTAACTAAAATAAGGGTAAACATTGGCTAGCAAAGGTGCATTTGCAGATACCAAGAAGCCGAGTATGGGGTCAATGTATGATCTCGCATCAGCTCTGAAGGAGCCTTGCGATGGAGGGTAAGAGCTTCCTAGAATGCTTGTGGCAATGACTGTTGTGACTTTAATCTGATCCTGAAGGCCTTTGTCCGTAATAGCTTTGTATATGTTTTGGATTGCAGGTAGAACGTGTGGGGCAAACTCACCGACGGGATCCACTTCGTTGCCGGCTGCGACATACGTGATTTTGACACTTGGGAAGAAATCCAAGACATTGTTTTGCACCCAAGTAATAGCATTGTCAGGGCTGGTTGCAAGAGATTGAAGGTCGACGTTTGGCACCCCAAGAATGAGCTCGATGTTTGAATCTTTAAGTGCATTTAGAGTATCTCGATTAGGATCAAAGATTCTCATCTTTCGGATACAGTTATCTTGGTAAAGGCCCACAACTTCATTTGCCGGGGGTAGATTGTCGCCCAGTGTGCCATAACATACGCCAACATTTTGAGCATCTGCTACCAAAAACATGAAAATTGTTATAAAATTTAAGCTGCTGCATGCTCATATGGGAAAAGAATAAGTTATATTTCGTTTTGTATATATTACTTTATATATCAATTGAGCAAAATAACATGTTTGAACACTTCATATATATTTCTTATCGTAAAAATTACGTTGTACAAACTTTACACACAACAGATATTATAAAGATATATTCAATGTAAAAGTAATTTACATTGAGAAATAAATAATAATAACTTTTTATAAAAGCAAATAAAGAAATAAATTTGATTGATATTCGTTAGATCAATTCATTTAAATAAAATGGCATTTCTCAAAAAAGTATATACAACTTTTAAAAAAAATAGAATTATTAAAATGTTTAATAATTATTTGAAAAAATAAGATATAATTACATAGTATACTTTTGCTTAAAAGAAAATAAATGAGAACCTGTAGTGTGAAGGTTAATTGTGAATATCTGGAGAAGAAGCACGAGAGTGGACAATGAGAACATCTTGGTAGTGAAGAGAGAAGACATGTTATACGAAATATAACACAGAAGAAATTGATGATCACACTTGGTTCCTGCAATCCTCTTATATAGACTCACCATCAATGTCTTAAAAAAGTAATTTGAATTATAAAATTCTACATAATAAATATATTGTTGTCCATGAATATCCACATAATTAATACTGAATATTATAATATCGCCATAAACAAAGAAAAAACAGATTGTGTTATTAAGAAGAATACCGACCAGTTGTAATGAAGCCAATTTATTCACTATTAAATGTTAATTGTAGAATCAATCTCCACTGTAATACCTTCTATAAATCCATCAAATTTATTTACTATTACACACTAATTACGTAAATGAATTAATATACAGATCTCACATATTATGAATTGATATACAAAATCTCATTTTAAATGTTAGA